ATGTATTTCTTTATCCTTTACTTTGAAGCTCTGTGATAAGGATTATCATCCATGGCTATTTCCCTTGTCTTTTTGAGTCTTTGTTATAGAGGGTCTAGATAGTGTGTCTGCTTAGTCTGCCATCTTGGAAACTAACTTCCAAGTTTTTTTTTTTGTTTGTTGTTGTTGTTTTTCTTAATGAGATAATTGGAACAATGGGAAAATAATATGTAAGAAAATAATGAGAAGCCAGAGATTGAAAATCTGCCAGTTAATTCTACTGCCAGCAATGTGCTGGCAAAATGAACTTATGGACCTGACTTCAAGAATTTCCTTGGGGTGTGTGGCCCCAGGGCAGGGTTTGGGGCCTTATACAGGTGTGTTCTGTCCCTGTGAGGGGACCACACCTCTTATTCCTATAGTGGCTGTGGACAAGTGGTTACTTAGCAGAGCTGGGAAAGCTCCCTAGACGGCTGCACTCCTACCTGCCCAAACCAAGACCTCTCTGGTGAAGTGTCAATCAAGCACCTAAATTACTATGAAATTGATATTTTTCTCTTTACTTTTCAATGAGCTCATAACCTGTGATTATTGCAATCTATAAACGTGTCATTTATACAGTTTAGGGAGTCCCTGGGTGGTATAAACAGTTAGCATGCTCAGTTGCTATCTGGAAGGTTGGCGGTTTGAGTCCACCCAGAGCCATCTCAGAAGTAAGGCCTAGAGATATACTTCTGAAAAATGAGTCATCGAAACCTTATGGAGCACAGTTCTACTCTGACATACATAGGGTCACTGTGAGTTTAAGTTGACTCAAGGGCAATTAAGTTGGTTGGTATACAGTTTAGGGAATTAAAGGCAAACATGTACTATGACTCTTTTCCCTCTATGGGGAAAGGAATAATAGTCAAAAGCCTGGCTATCAGTAGAGCTGTTGGAGTGGTGGATGAGAACAGGGAGAGGAAGAGGGGGACAAATACCTCCCCACCTTTTTTCCTTCTATCTCCTTCCCACTACCCCCGAGGAGGAAAGCCTCTATTAAAAGAGAATACAGATCTATGGTCTCTTATCTGTCATTCCAAACTCCAGAGAATACAAAAACTAGGGAGTTTTGACATTTGTTTGGTGGCAAGGCCTAACTTGAGTTGAGGTGAGTTTATTTGTTATCTTTACTTCTTATTGTTGTTAGGTATGATCCAGTTACTTCAATTCATAGCAACCCTATGTACAACAGAACGAAATGCTTCCCAGTTCTGTACCATCCTTACAATTGTTGCTATATTTGAGCCCATTGTTGCATCCACAGTGTCAGTATACTTCATTGAGGGTCTTCCTCTTTTTCACTGGCCCTCTGCTTTACCAAGCATAATGTTCTTCTCAGGAGATCTGGTAGCGTAGTACCTAAGACGCTTGACTGCTAACCAGAAGGCAGGTGGTTCAAACCCACTAGCTACTCCTCGGAAGGAAGATGGGGCAATCTACTTCCATAGTGATACCGCCTCGGAAACCTAAGGAGGGGTCACTATGAGTCGAGTCCAACTCAGTGGCACATAACAACAACAACAATGTTCTTCTCCAGGGGACTAGTCCCTCCTGATAACAGGTCCAAAATACATGAGACAAAGTCTCACCATCCTCCCTTCTAAGGAGCATTCTGGTTCAACTTTATACATGACACTGAAAAATGATAATGTATTGATTATGGGGTGCTGCCCATAATCCCCCCACACACACCCAAGAAAGAGCTATGTGACACACAGCATATGTACCACACAGCCTCACAAACTTGGCTACATGGGATTGGAATCAAAGCTAGGAACCTCTCCCCTAGAACACAAGAACAGGACAGAGAACTGGTGACTGCCTCAGGGGCCACAGTCAGCCTAGAGTAGTTGTAGAGTGACAACCAAATGAGGGGAGCTACTTGAAGGAAGGTCAGATAGGAATGAAGTGGTGTGCCCCAGGAGTCCTGTATGATAATGACACTAAAGCTGCTGAAAGGCCTAAATAAACAGGTGAGACCTTTCACGTGGAAAGAACACTGCTAGCAGAAGGCTCCAGAAGTGCAATGTTGTCTTCCTAGCCAGGTACAGCCACATGCAGCAGCTGAGTCAAGCTCATCATGCTCCTGGCTGACTCCCTTCCTGCCCAGTTTTCTGTATTTCTTACTCACCCCCCTGTTTTAAATTCAGATGGCAGCAAGGAACCTCTTTGTATATGCTCCATCTCACATAGGGACTGAGTTGAGAGGCAGAAGCATTCTAGGGAGAAATTCACCCATGTTTTGTGGCTGACTTCAGCTTAGTTATCTGAAAATGAGGATTGCATCCATTCATTCATTTATTCATTCCTTTAATGAGCATTTATTTCCCACCAAGTACTGGGCTAGGGGCCAGGGGTATGAAAAGAATTAAGTGAGATAGTGGTAGTGACAACCCTTTAGAAACTTCAAAACACCTGAAAATTGAGAACCTGTCATTTAGTATTCTGGGCCCATATTAACTCATATGGCATTTCACCCCTTATAACACCTGTTGCATTAACTCCCCAAGGTCCATGTCTACGTTATATACAAAAGTTGACTTGCAAGACTGACCCTCAGTGCGGGATTTTGATATGTTACCTGGTTGGGAGCAAATCATTAGCATTTTAGTTAAGCTCTTCCTAAGATTTTTAATTTTTTATCCTTTGGGACCTATTCTCACTGCCATTGAGTCAATTCCAACTCATAATGATTCCATGTGTTACAGTGGAAAACTGCTCCATAGGGTTTTCTTGGCTGTAATCTTTATGGAAGGAGATCTCCAGGCCTTTCTTCTGCTGTGCTGCTGGGTGGGTTCAAACCACCAATCTTTGGCATAGTTGATGAGTGCAAACCATTTGTGCCACCTAGGGAACTTGGGGCCTATAGATCCTGAGATGTAAATTATACAAAATTGGGATCTAACCATACATACATATTTTTATCTAGTATTTTCTACATCATTGCATAGTCTTCATGAATGTGATTTTTATGTCTGCACATTTGTCATGGTGACTTTCTGTCTGGTTGGATATTTGGATTTTCTAAAATTTCACTGCGAGCTCTGGTGGCATAGTGCCTAAGGCTTTTGACTGCTAACCAGAAGGCTAGTGGTTCAAACCCACCAGCCACTCCTCGGAAAGAAGTTTGGGCAATCTACTTCCGTAGTGATACCGCCTCAGAAACCCAGGGAGGGGTTGCTATGAGTCGGGTCTGACTCGATGGCACATAACAACAACAGATTTTTCACTATTATAAATTAGCTTGTACAGGATATTCTTATTTGTGAATTATGATCCCTATCTTAGATGATTTCATCCTATGCATTTTTGGTTATGGAGTAAGTGGGCCATTCTATGAGCCTGTTCATATGTATGCAGGCTGTGCTTTACTGCATGTAAATTGTACCAGAGATGACAGCAGCGTAGTCCAGTGGTAAAAATGGAAACAAGAACTGTCAAAGTAAAAAACTGCCTTCTATCCACATTTGGATTGTGAAACTGCATTTTATTCATTTCAACCTTTCATGTTGATTGAAGGTATTTCCATGTTAAAGACTGTGTCCTGTTGTTCCTAACTGAATAGGCATGGCCATTTAGGCATATTCATTCTCTCATTAATAACTATAACTGCTTGTCAAAGTAAGATCTAACAGGGAAAAAAAGTGCATCTAAGGAGTCAGTGAAGGGGCTTGGTAGCTGTATGTCATTATTCCCCATGATGATATTATAATCACCCCCATGGTGGAATCTGCTATGAGCAGCAGAGTAGTTGCCTTCAGGGTGTGGCCTGGTTCCAGTATATAAGAAGAAGCCTTGAAGAGGGTGTTTAGCCTTTGACACATTTGGATCCTGCATTTGGCTGAGTCTCCATCTCCAGTTCCTGGACATGGACCAATGGCCTGCTGTGTTGCCTGCTTATCTTGGGATTGTGCCATTTTACCTGCCAACCTTGGGTTCATTAGCCTCAGTAGCTAGCAGCTGCCTAAATTAGGAAGCGCCTACAGCTCCATGGGCCCTGGAACAGAGGCAGAACTACAGCTCAAAGTTGAAGAGCCTTCCCCTAGCCCCTAGAGCTCTCTGGATTTGGAAGATGGGGCAATCTACTTCTGTAGTGATACTGCCTCAGAAACCCAAGGAGGGGTCGCTAAGAGTCAGGTCTGACTCAATGGCACACAACAACAACAACAACAAACTGTAAGGGAATAAATTCCTGTTTGTTAGAATCTACCATGTGTGATATTTCTGTTATGGCAGCACTAGAGAACCAAGACACCAACCATCCCTCCACAATAAATAGAGTCAACAAAGGTTGCACACATTTACTAATAGCACTTTCTGTCATGAACAAAAGGGCAAACAAGAGCCTGATATCTTAGCTGAATATGTATGTCCTTGTTTTTCTTTTTCTTTTTTTTTTGTCTGATTATGTTTATCTTGGCATAATACTTTAATGTTTGTCAACAGCTACTCCTTATACATGATACTCAGAACAGTTGCTGGAGGGTCAGCTTCCAGGAGAATACCTTTGCATCCACTGCCCTCTGGATGTTTTGGTCCCAACAGGGGTGTAACCCTTCAAAAAAAAAAAAATGCATACTAGTTCTGCTCTTAGACCTGAAGCATTACCAGGCCCTTGTTGCCTGGATCTATGTTTCCTTTTCTTCTGCAGATTTTGTGTTGCTCTCCATGTCCCTTTGAAGGGAGAGCTCTTCTTGCCTGTGGTAGTCAGTCTCATTGGCCTTCTCAGCTGTAACAGGTGTGTGTGAGCCCACTTGTCTGGTCCTCCCAAGCTGGCTGCATGTCTGCTCCTGTCCCTCAACCACATGTGAGTGGACTGAGGTTCAACCATATGATGATGGAGGTAATGGACTCTGTAGCCCTACATTGACCAGTCCTCACTGGATTCTCTTGGTAGAGTTCAGTGGAAGACCTGCTCACTGTGTGGCTTTGACAGTCAGGATGCCAAAGACTATACAAATGTCTCCATCATTTTCTAGAAAATAAGAAGTCGAGGAGGGACAGGCCCTCGTGGGACTGGCGGGAACGGAGGAATGCCATCCAGCTTACCCATGAGTACACAGTGGAGACCCTGGTAGTGGCTGATGCTAATATGGTCCAGTACCATGGGGCAGAGGCAGCCCAGAGGTTCATCCTTACAGTCATGAACATGGTAAGTGTGGGGCTGGGGTCTTTATGCAGAACGGGCTGTGTTCTCCCTGACAGGTGCTCAGGAAGCAGGTGCTGGGTCTTTACCAGTTAAGGCAGAAGCTGAGTGGGTGTGGAGGGTGCACATAGTTTGTGATCGCTGTGCATTGCAGAGGGGTGGGGAGTGGTGGTCTCTCCATAAGAGAGTGCCTGCCCTGCCCCTGCCACCCTGGTTGTGGATCTTTGGTGGTATGCAAGAGCCTGGGTCTGCTCAATGAGTTGTCCCTGCATCCAGCTCACTACCAGAGGCTTTCCCAGACACTGCCACATGCAAGACCCATTCCAAGGAAGACTCAAAGTCAGCAGTCATAGCCCTGCTCTATGGAGTCAGCTAAATAATGGGACTAATCCAGTGAAACTGGAGCATGAAGCACAGCTTGATGTGTGTCCAAAGGTTCTGGTAGGAAGGAAGGAGAGCATTTGAATTGAGGACCCAAGGAAGGAGTCATGGTATAGCTAGTGTCTACATTAGACTGTTGATTGGGATGGAGGGAAGCAGGGGGCCAATGGAAGCTACAGTCTTCAAGTTTTAGACACTGAAGGATCTTAGCATGCGTCCAAATTCACCCATCCATCCCTTTTCCTAACAAACATTTTAAAAACTTACAGGCATTGTGGTAGTTGCTGGGGATACAAATGTCAAAAAAGCCTGGTCCTTTCCTCAGAAGGCAGTGGCACTAATGGGAATAAAGCTGCAATGTCTCAATAAGAATATCTTCAGGTCATTGGGACTGAGACAGAGGGCAGGTGAGTGATTAAATCCTGCAGAATGGAAACTTCATGAAAGAAGCTGGAAAGAGTGATTTTTGGCCAGATTAGCAGTGAGGTGGGGAGGAAAGGCAGATCATACAGGGGACATAGCAGTATATCTGCTATATTTAGGAGAAAGGGGCAAGTGATTTGATTTGACTGGGCAGGGAGCTGAGGAGCTTTAAGAGTGTAGACATGGATGGAGCAGATTGAGTCTTTCTGTGGAGGTTTAAGGAGAGGAGAGTGGTGTCCAAACTGATGTTGAAGGATCAACCCTAGTGGCTGTATGGAGGAAGATGGATTGGGGTAGGAAAATTCAAGTCCAGCCAGAAGGGACCAGGAGGCCCCCAGATTGGGGTGTATGTGGAATTGGGAAGGCGGTCTGGACTCAAGTGGTAGAAGTGCAGATGGAGAAGGGGGTTGCACTAGAAAGGAGGCTGTGATGTGAACAAGGACCCATAGGAGTTGGTGATGGTAGGATGCAGGGGCTGGAGAAGCAGGGGGAGGTAAGAGAGGTCCTGGAGGTCTAGATTTCAAGCTGGGTAACTGGGTAGATGGTGGAACCCCTGGCTGAGAAATGGAAGAGCAGAGGGTTTGGGGATATGGGGAGGAGATCCATCTAGACAGACTGGATTTGAGGGTTCTGTCTAGACAGATTGGATTTTGAAGTGAGGATGGAGGTCTTGGCTGGCAATAAGGATTCGGGTTTACAGGCAGAGAGCTGGCTACTGAAGTTTTGTAGTGATTGACATTGTTCAGGTAGAGCACATTGAGTGAGTAAAGAGTTGGCCAAAGACAGCCCTGACATAGTGCTGGTGGGCAAGGAGTCAGTAGATATGCAGAGACCTGGGAGGGGACGCAAGGCACAGTAGGGGACTGGAGCAGTGCTGGATGTTGCAGTCTGGTCCCTGGTGGAATAGCTTTAGATATTGTTGGGAGTGAATGCTTGGTAGAGGCAAACTAAAAAGTGAACAGAAAGTAAAGAAGTAGAAGCAGCAATTTCAGAGGACCTAGGTTTTGCAAAGCATTAACATTCTTGGCTGCTAACCAAAAAGTTGAAGGTTTGAGTCCACCCAGAGGTACTTCACAAGAAAGGCCTGGAGATCTACTTCTGAAAGATCAGCCACTGAAAACCCTATGGAGCATACTTCTGCTCTGATATATATGGAGTCAGAATCAACTTGTTGGCAACTGGGGTTTTTGGGTGAAGGAGAGGAGCAAGAAAGCCTAGCTAGGTGTAAGTAGGGTTAAGGAGGGCTTATTAGAAGGTACGATAGAGTTTAGAATGTGCGGTTCAGACTCAGGCAGGCCTGGGTCAGGTCTCTGCTTTGCCCCTTAACAAGGAAGAGGTATTTATGGTATCAGAACCTCTCTGAGCCTCCTTCTGATCAGTGGATCAGGGCCATTAGTTCCTGCCACAAGGAATGTCTCAGGCAACCAGCAGCTGTATAGCTATGGGACAGGTGTAAGTAGAGGGAGTAGATTGAGCAATTAATATAGGCAGAGGGAAGAGTGATGGAGGGATAGAGGTTCTGGATGGACAGCCAGGAGTGTGTGCAACAGGATCTCATAGCTCGTTTCCTGGAGTGTGCATGGTAGCTGAAGGAGCCAAGGGGTCCAAGAACAGAGAGGCTTAGGGACATTGCCAAAATCACATCCTGGCCAAGCCTCTGCCATGGGAAAAGAGATTTTCATAAATCCAATCCTGGGCTTAGTGGGTATGGTAAGGCCCACATGGAACTTGATTGCTTGCTGTAAACCGTGCCTGCCTTTGGGACCCATATGTATTTGTATAGGAGTCCCTGGAAACTATAAATGGTTAAGTGCTTAGCTGCTAATCAAAAGTTTCAAAGTTCAAGTCTTAAGCACAGGTGCCTTGGAAGAAAAGCCTGGCAGTGTGCTTCTGACAGGTGACAGCCTTGAAAAACCTATGAAGCAAAGTTTTATTCTGACACATGTGGGGTCACCAAGAGTCAGAGCTAACTCTATGGCAACTGTTTTTTTCTTTGTAGTTGTTGTCATCGATTTGTATGGGTACATTGGTGGTCCAGTGATAAAATTTTCCCCTTTCACGTGAGAGACGAGGTTTGATTCTCAGCCAGTGCACAGCTACCACCAGTCTGTCAGTGGAGGCTTGTGTATTTTTGTGGTGCTGAACATATTTCAGTGGAGCTTTCAGACTGGAAGAAATGCCTGAAAATCTTCTAAAAATCAGCCAATATTGACACCCAACACCAGACTACAGATAAATACATAAACATCTGAGAAGATCAGATGGGGTCAGTGAATAGGATTATACTCTAGACCAAGGACAGATTCAGCTGAGGCTAATCTTGCACAGATACCAGTGATACAAAATACCTGCAAACCCTACAGAAACAACAGAAGACATTCATAGAGCAATCCCTCACAGACAGCCAGGCACTGTGGGAGAGAGATCCAATGGATCTACCAACTCAGGGCCATAATATTGGGGGACACCAGACTCAATTGGCACAATAAAATACATAAAAATCTTGTTCCATAACCTACATTGGTGAGTAGCAACTGGGGTCTTAAAAACTTTCAAGCAGCCATCTAAGATGCAGCTAATGGTTTCTTATCATCAGAAGTGAAGAAGAGTGCCAAAAAAAAAAAAAAAAAAAAAAACAACCCAAGAACATTTGGAAGCAATCAGTCTAGGACATGATGGACCCCAAGACCAGAAGAACTAGGTGGTGCCCAGCTACCAAAGCTTGGGAAAGGCTCAAAACTGGAGAACCTGGATAGAGTGGGAGGAAAAATGTGGAACAAAATCCAAAAACAAAATAATGACCAGAATTACTGGTTGGATGGAGTCTGATAGGACCTCCAGTACTATGGCCCTGGTATACACTTCGGGGTTGGAATAAAACTCACTCCCAGGGGCTGACTCTCAGCCCAATAGTAAATAAGATGTACACTCAGAGCACTCAACCCAGGGTGATGCACCCACATACTGTATGGAGATGCATCCCTTGGTGCGGTCGACCACGGGGCACCAGAAGGGCAACATTTGCATGGAGTAAATGCAGTACACACAGGAGTGCATAACTATGAGGGGAAAAAAGATAAAGTGAAAATCAACCAGTGAAAGTTCTGTGGATCACAATGGACTGCTCCACAGCCAATTATGGAGATGGTGCAAGACTGGCAGCATTTTGTTCCAATGTGCATGGGGTCACCATGAGTTCTGGGTAAACTCAATGGCAACTAACAACAACAACTAAAATATATTTATAGCAAATTCAATGGGTCTTTCTCATACCCTCAGACATGCCGGCTTAAACATTGAGGCTGCTGAAATAGCACTGCAAAGACAGATTGTTCATATGAGTTAGTTTGGACTCAACTACTATCCCCATCTGATGGGCTCTTCTACAAAGCAAACCTGCCACACATGCCCTGAAGGACTGTCAGCTGGTACTGTTTGCAAGGTGTGGGCCTCTGTGAGTGCAGCAAGAGGGCCTTTGTAAAGTTATGGAACTCTGGGAGTTCCATTAACTGGCCCTGGTACTTGACACTGGTTTCTGAGAAATATTTCCATGTTCTTCATTTGCACAATTCCAAGTCTTGGAAATGTGGTTAATGGTAGCATTGCAGTGCTACAATCTGCCCAGATGAAACCCTGAAGGAGGGCTGGCTGCATGCCAGACTCTATCATCTGCAGATAATTTCATGTATTTTTTTTTTTTTTTAATTGTTCAGGGCACAAATGCAAAGAATGAACATCCATTATCATAACTAAAGTAGTTGTAAAAAAAAGTTTCTACTTTGATATTTGCTTTCATCATTTATTATCCAATCAGGGATGGTGGTTTTATCACAAGGCAGGGAGGAATGGGATATGGAGGTCTCCCCCCCCACACACTTTGGACTGGAAGGACTGAAGTCAGAGCCTGATAGGTGGGAACTCTGGGTTTTTCAGACATCCATCACTCTACTGCAGCTGCTTGTACGAAGACTTTGGAGGCCAAGAGCCCACTGCTGAGGGTAAATCTGGGCCCAGACCAAAAACCAAACCCACTGCCATTGAATTACCCATAGGACAGGGTAGACCTGCCCCAGAAGGTTTCTGAGGCTGGAAATCTTTACAGAAGCTCCCTGCCTCATCTTTCTCCTGAGGAGCAGCTGGGGTTTTGAACTGCTGACCTTTTGGTTAGCAGTCACATGCCTTAATCGTTGTTCCACCAGACC